CATATGAAAATAAGGACAGATATAAAATAGACAAGCAGGGAGAATATGCTAAATTTTGACCAAAGCCATGTGAATACTCGATCCCAGTCCAATCGAACAGGGGTAATTACTCCTGTTCAGCAATCAAATCATTCATTCAGTAGCTCCTGAAATATTCGCATATATCAGATAGAAACATGGATGACCTTTACACCAGCTATTATCCTTTTCTGAAAACGAAGCGGCTCGACAGAATGCTTATCACGTTGAATATTCACGTTCAATTCTAGATCAGCCTAACTCTCTATCTCTTACGATACAGGACCTATACGCATTTTCTCGAGAGCCCCGATTTCGGCCAGTTGATAATCGGGCACATGGTGATGTTTATTTGTAGTTTCCAACCAACCTAAAGTCACTATATTAGTCAGGGACATTTCGAAAATCTTGATATCGTGACTTTAGGTCTGTTTGAAACTACAAATAAACATCACCATGTGCCCGACTACCCCTATTTTGACCCATTTTAGGATCACCCAAGGTCAACCGGACGAAATTAGGGCGCTCGAGAAAATGCGTATCGTAAGAGATAGAGCGTTAAGGCTGATCTACAATTGTAGATCTCGGTTCAGGTTATCAATTGCACTGTTGGAAAATCAAAACCTATCGTACGGTCCAGGCGATCTCGTAGACTTTGCATCGAAAGGCTTGTCATGGTAAACCTTACTTGGAAGCCTAGTTTTTTGCATACGCTTACATCCCCCGATATTTTCTATCCAACGGTGAAACATGTCTGTATCGCTTTTCGTTCAAATGTGATAAGCATTCTGCCGAGCCGCCTCGTTTTCAGAAAAGAATAATACTCCCACAGCATTGTCACTATACAAACAAAAATTAAGCTATCTAGCATTTTTCAACTCATAGACAGATTGATTACACTATTACTATCAGAGACTATTTACATGATGGAAGTTAGTAGATATACTCTAGTTATCACAAACAGAACTCTTCTCACAACAAAAATATCGAAAGAACAAGAGATGATATTAAAGTTGATATTTTGACTAAGGTCAACGTTATGTCATTTAAACAGTTTACTTCTGATGTAAAATATGGGTGTTTTGTAAATGGTCATCACCTACCGATTGTTCTTCTTTATCTTGTTGTACAGTTAATTTTGTTGTTTGTTGTCGTTGAAATTTATTCCATCTTGTTTTCATTGGATTTTCCATTCCCGAAGATGTTATTGTTGTCATTTGATGTTTAGATGGAGGTGCATCTGAAGATTGTTGAATACGGGAACCATCTTGTGGATTCTGAATATTATACAAAACAATAAAAAGAAACAATAAATATGTAGTGAATAATTCATTAAATGAAAAAATGCAATCGATAGATGAATTACTTAAAAGAATATCGATGTCAGTTCGGGAATTAAATGAACAAACGGTAGACTGATAAGTTTGCAGTGTAAGAAAAAAGACGTATTGTCATTTCATTTCACAATTTGTCCTTTCGGATAAAAACGAATGTAGCTCATTTAACTGTCTGTGAAGATGTCATTTGTGTCTATGTATCAAACTTACTGTCCATTGACTCCCCCATTAGACGGGATACATCATTCATATAGCGATAGTCTCCCATGTTTGTCAATTTATGTCTGACAAATATTGGACTAGCCAGAGCTCTTTTAGGGGAAAATAACTAACAGATAAAACTTATTGTCACTTATTTGTGACTTTCTGTCACATCCAGAGTGGTATGAACTTTTACTCCAAGAGATGAGATAAGCCTCGTGGTGTTTTTCTGCCATAATCACGCAGAAAACATCTGTTTGAACAAATCTGCATTGTTCTTTTTACTTTTCATCGTGTTCAAAAGAACAGCATAAATATTGAATTCAATCTTTTTCTATGCCCACTTATATCCATAATCGAGCAGATCGTACTTCGGGCAAGATAAAAAATAGCAAAAGATTGTTACGTTTTTTAAGAATACGTCTACTTACTTTATTAACTGGATTATGCCAAAATATTTTGATAAATCGATTATTGAATAGTGGCTGTGAATTTTTGTAGGCGGATTCTGCTTCTTGTAATGTTTGATATGCTATCAAAGCAGCGTCAGGTGCGCCATCATAAGCAATCTAAACAAAGAATAATAATTTCATCTATGACCTACACAAGGAGTCAATGTTCATCAGTAGGCATGCACCAGTCCCGGTTTTTAACCGGTTAACCGAAACCGATCATAACCGAAAATGTTGCACAAGTTCTTGAAAATACGTTTGACATAATATGAAGATGGCGCCTAGCAGATAAAATCTAGGAAATTAATTTTGTCATATTTTTGTTGCTAAACTCAATTTTGGGAAACTCTTCCTTCACCATGAAAAGTCAGAAATACCACTTATTTGGCTTATTTCTGATTTTGTACGCGATGCATCTTTCTTTCAGGATGAACAATTGTTGATTGAACAACAGATGCTTCCTTCATATCGGTTAACCGAAACCGATGCATGCCTATTCATCAGTATTCCAATTCAATATATCTATATATATAACACGCCATTATAAACAAAAGCAAAACTCGTACTAAATTCCTCAGTTATTAGTCAGGCTCACTTATGAAAAATTAGATGCTCTGCAATTTCAGTCATTGTTTGTTGACTTTGTTGACTCAATTATACTTACTTGTACATTGCTCACATTGCCAAATCTACTAAAATGTTCATTTAATTTTGTTATCGTATTGAGTTCTGGTGGAATTTTACGAATTTCTAAGGTTACTGGATTCGAATGATTCCCATCGTTACCTGTGAGACCTAGAAAAGGCAGATAAATTAGTATAGTATTGAAAAGTTAAAACATTGAATCGGAAAAGGGTTTAAGTAGTACAACTATGCAAAAACATCATATCTCTAATGGTAATTAAAGCTATTCGTGGAGTAAATTCAATTTGTTTTTCTCTTTAGTAGTTATGACTGTACTAAACTCTTCCATTCTCGATTTCTGATAGCATTTTTTTAGAATCACGGTTTCTCATTATAAAAGTCAATTTTTGAGTGGCGATGTCACCTTGTACCAAATAATTATACGTTGACACTGATGAAGTATGAAAAATATTGGATCATTTCGATGGAAGACATGAAAAACGGAATAAGAAGAACGTACTGTAAGATTAAAACTACAAATTTTGACTTGAATCTAAGACAGTTGAAACAGATTTTGAGCAGAGTTATATGATTTTGACTACTACTATAAAGGAATCTGCTGAAGACATTTTTCTCTGTTTCAACGAAGTCTTATGTGTTCTCAAAAAACAATCGGACTATTACAATAATTGTTCTAATAACTTAATTTTACATGACCTGATATGGGAGACAGAAAATGCATGAAATTCTTTAGATTACCACACTTCTAAGTATAAAGTGGCTAAAAAGTTAGAAAACTCACGTCTTTTCCATCCGCGCTGAAAACCGCCACCATTTTGGTTGTTTTGTTGTTGTTGCTGTTGATTGTCTCTATTAAATGAATCATTTCGAGAACCTTGATGCGATGGAGGATGATGATCACCTCGTCGTTCTGTATATGGACCAGTAATTATTTGGCGTTTTGAATCCTGTCCACTTGGTATAACAACTAAATTAACACAAAGAAAGAAAACGTTATTGATAAGATTTACAGAATATCAAAGTGAGAGTTGAATAAAACAAAACTATGATCGAAACTGTGTCACAAGAACAAAATTCTAGTTCAAAAGGAAACTGCTCTGCAACAGACAAAACACTATCTTTTGAATCAATAAAAATCAGTGATAATCCCACAACGCTTAATACGAGAGTTTGAGTCGAAGTTTCTATTGACGAACTTGTTTCTGACTAACATGCACCTCTGTAAAAATGAACACAATCGTCATGAGATGATTAAAACTATGTCCTAATCGTTAGATAAATCTTTACAATACGCCGTTCTATAGAACAAAATACTTCAGGTAATTACAAGGTCATTATCAAATAAAATGCTACATTGTTCTTGTGAACCAACAATGTTTTTTTTTATTAATGAATCTAATATTTAAAATAATCAGAACATCTAATTGCATTCCTGACGAAATCAGACATCGTCTGTTCTTAGCGAAAAAAAACTTCGTTTAACAGCAGTACGCGTCTTATGCAGCTCTTATTTCATTTCTTACCATGTCTTCCTCGTTGTTCCAATGGCATCGGTTCAGCATTTGTCACCACAGTCACTAATGATCGTTCTCGTTGTTGATTTTGTTGTTGTGGAGGTAAAGGAGGTCCCAACATTCGATTTGCTGTCTGTTGAGGATTTCTCAAATAAAGTGGAACTGGTGGTGGTGGCGGATGTTTGACATGGAGATTGGGTGTTTGTGGATCGTACTGTTCATAATGTTGTTGCATACGATAAGGTGGTGGTGGAAATGGTGCATAAAATGACGTTCCCGGTTGATTAGATTGTGTGGGTGTTTCAATTATAACAGCATTGGTACCATGATCGTATGGGCACGCATCGCCCAATGCACAATAACCTATGAATAGATAGAATGTAAAACAATATTGAAATTTTCTTATTATTAAACGCTCAATCATAAGTCAGTTTGTATAAAAATGAACGATTCAGTTAGCGAAATCAGTATACAAAAAAAATATCCATTTCATAAAGACTATCGATTCAATCATTAAATACAAATTTTATACTGATGATTTTAGGATTTTGCTTAAATTTAAACAATCTTTTTACTATTTTACCTTTATTTTCAAAAAAGTCTTGACAAGGAATTTTTTTGTAAAGAAAATTTGTGGCTGTTGATGACGATGGTGCTGGTGGTGTATGTGTTGATCGAGTCGATGAACTTGTAGATGTACCACGAGAATATGATCGTTGTGTACGTTTTGGTGGTGGTGAACGAGGTGAAAGACTACGAGAAAGTGAACGTTGACGTTGTTGACCGGATGAGGGTGAGAGAAATCGCCGACGTGACAAAGATGACGATGAATGAAAGTCACGCGATGATGAAATCTCAGTTGTACGACGACGAGACGGTGAATAGCCATGACGATCAGAGCCAGACGGATGACTTCTAGAGCATAATAAATTAGAAATTTTTAATTAGAAGCTATAAAAGTTTAAACCGAGTAAGAATAACCGTTCATAAGCTCCTAGATTTAGAATTTACTGAAATCTACGTTTGCGTGTTCGAAGCCCGTATTTATACAAAATGATTTTATGTCTTTCGATCGTTTATGTATTATTACAGTATAATAGATTTATTTTCGCTTGTATTGTGAAAGCATACAAACTAAGAAGTTAGAGCAAGGAGGAAACAGCTGATTTTTTACCTTAAAAACTCGTTTTAAATCGAAAATCAGAAAAATGACTGGCAATTGGTCAGAAATGACTGAGATTCAGAGAAATCCTGTCTTAAGCCATATCTGTCCTACTATGTCAACTAAATAGATCGAGCTTACTCCTTTCTGTTTTATTACCTCTGGTAAGATTTTTCTTATTTCTCATTCACAGTTGTATAGATTTATTGATACCAAGAATATAGAAAAAGAATATCGTAGAGTAAAAGCAAGAATAATAACAATAACAAGGCTCTGCACTATTTATCGCAGTCTCTTTACTTGAATTCTCAAATAAATCAAAAGAAATCGGAAAAAATCGACGAAAATCAGAACAATCAGCGGTTTCCTTCTTGAGCTAGAATCTTTTATTTACAATCCAATCGAAGATATTTGAGTTACATGACTTAATCTAACAGAATATGGATATGCTAAATCCAACCGTGATTTCTGAAAATGAGACAGAGTTAATTCATTTTCTCAAGTTTAACGAAACAAACTCGTTGTTTACTCTACTAATATAGAACGGTCGACTCTTTCCTTTTCTACCTGATTTCCTATTTTATTACCTTTTGTATAATTGACTATTTTGTGACTGTTGTGGTGTAGTTAAAACTGTTGCTTGTTGTGAATCGTCTGTCACAAATGACGAAGATTGATCAGTAGTCAATTCATTTGGTAGTGAAAGTCGTTGTTGATCATGAGATTTGGATGTTGATGATCGCTCAACAGTCGATAATTCTTCGATTTTATCTGCTTTTTGATGATCCGCTTTATCAATTGATATTGAAGATTGAATATTTTCCTGAACATAAACAAACAAGACATAATTAAAATAAAATAAAAAGTTCGTTGACTCTGTAGTCTTGTCTAAGAGATAAAAGTCAAAATTATTTATTCTACTTAGTAAATAAAAATGAATTCATATATAACTATGAAACTCGACTTGAATTTTACAACCGCTTTGTAGTTATAGTTACTAGAGACTCAGAAAGAATTCATTTCTGGAAGAATCAAAAGAAGATACCATAACCAATTTCGACCTTTCTCAAGGGTCTCGTTAGATGGTATCCTTCGAGAAAGACAGAGTAAAGGCACGACAAGCAACACAAATCCGTCAGACCGTATGAAGGTGTTACTATTCCTTGTTCTGATCGAACAAAGAACGATAACTTTCAAAGGACGAGAAGGAAGCACGATATCACTGTAAAATGCATATGTTCTGCTTCTCTACATTAAGTATTTCTTTTCATTCTATCAGAAACGATTCACCCTTTTAAACCTAAACTGTATCTAGTAACTTTCACTTAACAACCGTTGAAATAAATGTGAAAAGCACCATACTTATAGTTCGACGTTGGGAGGTGGTCACTCATCTTCTTAATAATCGTAGTTTTGATACAATAGAAAAAGACATTACGTCACAATTCTCTACTTTATAGTGACTAACTATATAATATATACATAGTTTGATCTTCAGAAGTGGTCACTCATCCACTTAATAGTCATGCTCGTTCACAGTGAAGAAAGACAAACCGATCGTGGTATCTTCTTTTGATTCTTTCAGAAATGAATTCTGTCTGAGTCTCTACAGAGTTCAGCTACAGACTACAAAGCGGTTATAAAATTAACTAAATATAAGAATGAACCTATTTTGTTTCGCAAAACTGAGCAGATGATGCAACATAAAACGCAATCGATTTGCGAAAAGCAGTACATTTCAATTTGTCAAATCAATGGTAGAAAAAGACGGTAGATTTTAATAGTGAACTACTAAACTTAAGTGAAAAACACAGAAAAATATAAAAGTTTTTTGTTTAAATAACGCGATCACGAAAGCTACGGCTCAAAGCAAGCGCATCACATCGATTGGATAACAAAATTGATCGATAAGCAAAGAGAAATCTATACGTTAATAAAAGCGTCTTTCTTCTCTCTAAGTTCATACAATAAACGTACGTCTTTTGCTTCTGGAATATATTTTCCACTTTTAATCACATCGAATAATTGATCAACAAATTCCTTTGTAACTAAATAAAATAGTGAACAACGAATAGAAGTAGTAGAAGAAAAAAAAAAAATCTCTCCTTACCTTTATCTAAAAATACTTCTAAACGGTCTATACAATTTTCTTTTAATTTATCCAACGGTTTATCTTTTCCAATTAGTGCTAACACATAACAGGCTAACGCGATTGGTTCAGCATCACAACTAGAAGAAAAATAAATAGCATAAATAAACGGAAATTGGAGTATAATTGCAACGACGACAGAATTCTAGTAATGATGTTCTTTTATGACAGCTATTCTAGTACCATCGACTTTCCATTCTTAGTCAACATGACATGAAATGTACAATAAACTTACAGTGGTTCTACGGTTGATACGAGCCACTGTCTTAAAGCATCGTGATCTTCAATAAACATCGTAGTGAATGGATGAATTAATAGATAATAAACTTCGATTAAACTGGCATGCACGTAGTCTATTCTTGTTGGCAACAAATACGGAACATAATGCAGATAATCTAAAGAATATAGAAAACAAAATAAATCGCTTAGATTAAAACACAAACAACATACAAAGCGGAGATCATGAGGTGATTTTAATAGAATATAATCTGAAATGATTTTGATTAAGGGAAAACAAAAGTACTTTGCCTTCAGAATTGACTACGAGATTATCGAGCTTCGCAGCGTTACATTGGTCACATATGGTTGAAATAAATCGTAGAGCAAGACTTAAGAAAATTAAAATTCTTCGTGCAAAATAAGATTCTTCCCAGAAGCTTTAGTTAACTCAGAACCGAACAAAACGTTTGTTTTGACGATATATGTGTGAAAACTAGCAAGAAAACCCATAGCTTATCACTAGAGAAAAAAGTTTCTTTCTGTACTTGTAATATGAAACAATTAAGCCTACACCATATTAATTGAGAAAACAGACAGATAGTTTTTCCATTCGTTTTGTACACAAATTAGACAATAAGGCTGCTCCTCGATTCTTCCGCCTGTCGCAATTGGACGAACGGCCCACACGATTCCGTTGCTACGGATTCTGTCAGTTTGTTTCAGGCGTTTTTCCCGACCCTAAATACATTACAAACGACTCGCATTCAATAATTATCCTAATTTGAGTTTGATGCATTGTCTTTTTAATGCATCAAACTCAAATTTATTTTGAATGGATAATTATTAAATGTGAGTCGTTTGTAATGTATTTAGGGTCGAGAAAAACGCTTGCAACAAATTGACGGAATCGCTTGGAGGTTTGTCTACATTGACGTCCTATTTCAGTTAAGCAATGAAAACACATATGTAAGACTTTAGACTGGCCTATACTTTTCACCAATAAAAAGATGAATTCGTACCTTCACTCGTCGAGTATAATTCAGTTCTTGTGTTCTCTAATCTTGCACTATTTAGGTAGTATGTAAAAGATGTTTTATATTGACAACTTCAATGTATCCAGATGTCGCTCACAAATAGCGACAATCAAAGAAAAGACACATTCTCTTCATCATCATCAAAATTCTGTAGATAATCTATTTGATACGTGAATTTTATTTTGAGTTCAATTTGCAGATCAAATTTGAAATGTAAAATTTGTTAAACCAAAAGAGTATTAAGTTTTGATGGAAGATATTTGTCTTTTATACGCCGCTATAATGTAAGAGGAATCCGTGTGATTAGAATACGATAAGCTATCATCGCTCACACTGTTCAACGAATGTGTTGTACACATCCAGGCTAGTGGATCCTTCCACTCTCTCGAATGAATAACGAGATGAGTCACTAGAAAATAAACGAAAACGAACACAGAATAAAAATTTAAGGCTATTTTTAGCTTTAAAACACCTTGAAACCGGCCGCATTTTTCCAATTCCAGCGAAATCGGTTGGATCTTTTCCGACATAATCCGGCATAGTTTCGATCAGATTCCGGCACGTTCGACCATCGGATTCGGTGGGATCTTTCAGGAATTTTGTTAAAGAAAAACGCGTAAATATATGCATTCGAGTGTCTTCTTTCGAAATATATCAGAAGGTTTTTGAAGCTTTTTATTTCTTTCGAAAAACTATTTTTTCACAAAATTATATAGTTTTTCCTGTAAAAAATTAGAGACCCATTTAGATTTTTCCTTCGTCAATAAGTATAAATAGATGTAAATAAATTTCTGTGGCATCATTAGAAAGAGCATGAAACACAGAGTATAAACGATACATTTCAAGTTATATAATTGTAGAGTTTTGATGATTTTCAAATTGTTTTCTTTCAGGTTTGTCTGTATAACGTTGAAAACAGCTCCAAAACCAGTGGAATGGAGAAATAACAAAAAAATTCTCCTTTGCAACGCTCAAGAGTAATATTTGATCTAATAAATGAACATGTATAAGTTACAAAACCAAAACGATGTAAATTTTTAATTAGAATTGTGCAGTAAAAAGTAACTTCTAACTTGTACCTGTATTCATTCACAGCACATTTACTCTTAATACTAGAGAACTGTGCAGTGTTTCCAGATCGACGAAACTTGAATTAAGATCTTGCAAGATCGTCTAAGATGTTATTTCAAGATTTGACAAGATCTTGTATGATCGTGCAAGAGATAACAAGATTTCATAGGATCACGCAAGAATTCATTAGATCTTACAACATTACAACACTATTGAAGTGTAGATCGAACAACGTCACCAGCAAGTGATGCTGTCAAAGCGAACGTTGAAACCGCAGATCTTCTATAGTGCAACTAAATCCACTCTTTCTTAAAACGAGCCATAATAGTACCGGCATAAACAATATATTTTTATCCGTATCCACACCAATACTTCTGTAAATTTTCCTTTTTTTTATTTACAAGTGAAAATACAGTAACTGACCGTTGTTTTTTTTAATATTCACGATCAGTTTTTCTCATTTCATTATCTAATAAAGAAATATATATATGAAATTATAAATGAAAAGCAGCTACAAACATTGTACATGCATAAAAATGAATTTTTATAAAACAAATACTGTTATAATAAATCTAAGAGATATAGTAAAATAATCTGACTAAAACAGAAAAAAATATCTGAACTAAATTGTGAGATTAGATGAAGAAAAAAAACATGCAACTAGATATAATAGTATAAATACTTTTCATTCAGATGTAATGAAACAAATAAATCGCATAGATTGAAGTGATCGCAATAAAAAAAGTTGAGTAAAGTGTTGTCGATTAAAAAAAAACATTCTCAGTCGATTAATGTTTTGTACTTTTGATCTGTCTGTTAGGATTATCCATATAAAAAAACAATAAAAGTACGTACATAAAAATTATATATAAAAAAAAGTGCGTAAAAGAATCTGACTACAACATAGAGAAGACGACGACGACCTATAGACGTGTGATTGTAGAATAAACATCACTATTGTTCTTTCATGTTTCACCTTGTTGTATTGGAATATAGGAGAAATCTTGAGATAGATGATGTTTATTGACTACGATAGATGATGTTGAATGAATCGTTTGTCTTTGTAAACGTTTTATTAGCCAAAATAATAAGACAATTGTAAACATCTAAATGAATAGAGAAGCTTTTATAGTTAACTGAAAGTGAGATAGAGAAAGAGAAAGAAACTATGCTTACTTGTAGAAATAAGACGCCGACAGCAACACAGCCTAATTTAATCAAATGTTGATGATAATAATCATACAATACTTGAGAACAACCCTAGAATGAAGCAACATAAATTTGCTGCTGTAATAATGCATTCAAATCATTTTTATATAATTAAATTCGTGATCAGTGTCAGACATCCTCCCCATTACGGTATTGAACTACTTTACGGAAGAGTTGAAGTTGAGTTAGATGTACAAAAAAATGGTTTGATGTAAATGTTATTAACATAGGATACTATTACAATTACCAAGTAAAACATAGGATCGACTGAGAGGTCATTGAACTCACATGTTATTTGAAAGAAAGAAAAGAAAGGGTTTACATACTTTTGCGTATTTATTTAAAATAATCAAAAAATTGTCTCTTTTTGAAAAATATCTTCACCTCTTTTCCAATTCCGAGCGTTGAAGCCGTAGAGAAAGTGGAAATTTTAGATACAGATAAATCTAGCCCATACTGATAACAAATACAGAAATGTTGTAAGACAGTGCAACGCGAGGAGTACTTGATGGAAGGACATTTTTTGAATTACAAATTCATAGTTTAAAAGAAAACTTTCTTCACACAAATTGTTCCAATTTTTCTACTATTCCAGAAAATTTTGATCGATTCTATATCGAATTACTAATTTTAATTTGGACTAGGGCTGCGACAGTTACCAGTTACCGTTACCAGCGTTCTCCGTTACTAGACGTAACGGTAACTGATATAAAATTAATAAGCATCGT